TCAGCAGCAGGAGTACGGTCAGGCATCGGGAGTGGCTATATGCCACAGAGACCGGGTGAGCTCCAAACGTCTTCTGTAAACCCCGTCCCTATAACTACCCCGGCCCCACTAAGTTCTCCGGCCGCATCCTTCCCTTCCCACGTTCCGAGTCCAACCGCCCTATTAAGCGCAATACCTGCCGTAACAGAGCCCCTAAAGTCTCAAGCGGCGGCTGTGCTGGGGACTTCTCCCTATCACCCCAAGGTGAAATACTTGGGGCATCTGTACCACAAAAAGTCAAGGAAAAAATCTGGAAGGGAGAATACGTAAACCTCAGTACACTAGTACAAAAAAACCAGGGGTAACAGAGTCCGGCCCAGCGTTAGGCGAGCTTACACTAGTCCAAGTTGGCCAACAATTAAAGATTAAATCAGCCACACCGACAAAAAAAAACAAAATTTACTCTTTAGAAGTATGGACCAATGTGTTTTTCGTGTATGCAACTATTTACCTGCAAACTAACGCAGGGTGCGCACAAGAAATACTGAAGTACTGCCATTCTATTCGCTCAGCAGCGGCGCGATACTCCGGATATGGGTGGCGAGAGTACGATATTGAATTCAGATCGAAGCATGTAGGGCAGAGCAAGCCATGGGCAGATATCGATGGGGAACTATGGTTAATCCATGTAGTAGGGGGCGGCCATTGCGATCTACGGGCAGTAGCTCAACGGAGCAACCGTTCCAGGGAAGAAAACGCTAGGACGGGCCGTTTCATCCCGCTTAACCGCGCACAGGTTCCTTTCGCGCAAACAATACCATGCAGCCAGGCGGAAACCAGCCCGGTGCCGGTATCTGCTATGAAGCCAACTTTGGCACCGGGAAATGCACCAGGCCCAACTGCTGGTTCAGTCACAAATGCATTGCATGTGGAGCAACTGACCATGGGAAAGTCACATGTCTAAAACCTGACTCCACTACCGGTAGTCGCGAGTAGTTATGGAGGTGGGGGTACTAGACTGGGCGGAGGAAAAGGTAGGGCAGCTTCCGCTATATCCATATGTGTGGCATATTGTTTACTCACGTAACTGGGATGACCCCCCCCCCCCCCCCAAACACTTCCTCGTAAAAAAAAAAAAAAAAAAAACCCAACAAAACGAAACAAAACGAAACAAAACAAAAACCAAAAAACGATGCAAGAAGACTTTCGGCGCCAAGGGAAGTCACGAGATATCAGACGGCGGGATATCCCTTAGTGAAATACAAACAACGGGCAGGTGGCGCAGCGACGCTTTTAGTTATACATCCGCAAATAAAGCATGCTACAAAGAAAGCAAAACTGGCTAAAAAAAATCTTGTGTTTTCCTTCCAGCTAATTGCAGAGGAAATGTGTGGGTGGTCGGCGACAGTCTCGTTCGGAGAGCAAATGAGAGAGCCAGCTCCACAGGAAAGCAGAATTTGGGACTGTCTCAATCAGTAGTGACATGGATGGGAAAAGGCGGAGCAACTCTCCAGGACTTTCTGAGCAAACTCCAACGACGAACGCGTCGTAGTTTGCCCCCAGATACGATTATAACTCACCTAGGGTCGAACGACTTGGGTAAATGGCCTGCCAAAGAATGCCGCCAAGCGATCGAAACAGCTCAGATCCTCAAAAGAGGATATATATCTCACTTGGCCGGCAATATTACCCAGGTTGTTTTTATAATGGATATGAGCGTTGTACGTCACAAGTAAAAATAGAGAATATTCGCAAATCGTTGAATAGGTGCGCCCAAAGAAAAGTACTGCGGCTTGATGAAACCTACATGTACACTGCAAAAATATTGGGTAAATAAATACCCACCGATGGGCGAATAGTGCACGTTCAACTGTGGGACAAAATTGTCTATACATATTGCGTTGTTTATATTTTACCTAACGAATCATTTCCCCAATATTTTTACTGTGTATATGAATATGAGCATTTGTCGGGGAAGATGGGGGTGGGGGAATGCAACCACGCCATGACATGTGGAGTACTGTGGCCTCGTGGTTAAGGGCACTGATTCGTGGTCTGCGGGTAAAGATGCAGGTTGTGGGTTCGAGTCCTGGCGGGGTCATGGTGCGTGTGCCCTTGGGCAAGGCACTTTGTCACTCATTGCTTCTCTTCACCCAGGAGTAAATGGGTACCTGTGAAGGCAGAGATGGTTATTGTGATTGCATTAGCTTCCTTGCGCCTAACAGGCTGCATCGAGCTGTATACTCCCCAGGGAGCTGAAATGGTATTTGGAATGTTTCATGTGCCCAATTAGCAGGGGTAATAATGATGTAAGGCCTTGAGCACTAGTCATGGTGGATACGTGCGCTTTATAAATATCCACTATTATTATTATTAGTATTATTATTGACATCACCGGGTATCAAATTACAAGTGTTCAATGATAACAGTTGACAAATACTTTCAACCATAACTCTTGCTATGCATGCAATGAAGTACCGTGTTCATTTTTTGTGGTGTGGTTGATATCGCCTTGGTAGAATGCTTGATCCTGAGCAAGAAGCCGTTTGATCTTTACTTCCGATTTTCTCGAACGTGCAATGTGAAATAAATATACCGTAATAACTTAAGGTAGCATTTTACTACCATTATACTGATTGAGTAAAATGTTTAATACAGGGCGAGTCAAAAAAAGCAGAACCCAAACCCCCAAAATTATATTACATATTTAAAAAAAAAAAATATGTAGCACGACAAATAATAATGACTGGAAGTCAATTTCATAAGCTACTTTTAGATGAAAAAAATACTGAAATTGCTAACCGTAAAACCTGTTTCGTCAAAACAAAACAAAATATTGTGTATTCTGACTGTTTGGGACAACGAAGAAAATGACACAGACTAGTTGTTTCAACAACTATCAACAACTGTAGTACACAGTCTCTTTAGTAACAGCCCTAGGTAGGCAAACAATTATATGCTTTATAAAATCCTTTTTTTTAAGTCGTGCCTTCAAAAGGACTTTATTGAATATTTTTAACGTTTACACTGAGGTTTTATGTGACGACGATTCTTGAAATCGTTTTGGACGAAACAGGTTTTAGGGTGATTGTGTTTAAAATGGTGATATATTTTGAACGGGTTAAGCAGTTTCAGTAAGTTATTCATCCAAAAGTACCTTATGAAATTATTTTTAAATATGAAATAAGATTTTGGGGGTTTGGGTTCCGCTTTTTTTTTACTCACTTTTTTTTTACTCACCCTGTAAGAATTGCCAATCACAAAAATGACATGATAACGTTATAGTCTAAAAAAGCGTCCTCTAGCAGGATACTTTAAATATGTTTCTATTTTTACTGAAAAACCATTGGATGAAATATTACAATATGGGCACTATCGAATTTCTCAGAAAACCTCACATTATTTGGCGAGGATTACGTCATCAGGCCTCAGGCTATTGGCCGTTACGGTGACAAAACCATCAAAATTATCAAAATTCACGCCTTACCAAAAAGTAATCCTACAAAATTAAGATTTTATAATAATAATGCTTTGTATTTTTTTTATGCAAGAACTGTCAAAAAAAGTTCTCCAGAAAAGATAAAAATAATGGTGGTGATATTTCCGGGATTCCCAACATGCATTGTTGTTGTTCTTATATTAATTTTAGTCTGAAATGGACAGTTCAAAAGTTTGGGTCAACATAATTTGGTTTTGACTTATATGCATCATTCCATGTTTTATATTAAAATAGTTCTGTTTTCTCGATTTCTCATGTTTTTAGAAAAGTTAAGTCCAAAACGCCATAGCGTACACGCATGTGCGGATGTCGTTAGGAATAAAAATTCGCGGTCGGTTCACATTGTTCTTCCATCCTTATTTCTATATGCAATTTTCGAAACCATCCCATCAAAATTCTTTTGACCCACAAAGTTACCGTAAGAGGGCGGTATACCCAATTTTTAGGACAAATCATCATGTTCGTGATTTTGTCCCCATTTTTTTTTTATTCCACAAGAACTATAAAAGAGTACCCCCAAATAAAAGAATCATGAATATTAGATGCAGCCACATTGGACTCCTATAGCATGCATTGTAAGTGGTCATGCGACCGTAAATTGTAGTCTAGAGTAAATACTTGATGGTTTTGATCAAAACAATACCAAAGAGGCCAAATCTTATGATTACTTGTGTTCGCTTAGTCGTTCCCATGGTAACCAATGACATCTTACAAATTCGTTTTTCGTATCAAGAGTTAGCAAGCGTCACCAAATTTCATGCCGATGGGAAAATCGTTCTTGAGCTATTTCGAAACTTATATAGGGGATGGAAACATGTGAGCCCTGGTCGTGATAGGGTTAAACTTGATTCCTGACTTTGTGTCGGGTTTGATGTTCAATCAAAGTTTCAGGTTCATGGTATGAATTGTTTTGAAGAAAAGAGGCTCAGAATTATGCAACTGCCGAAATTGACAACAACCACCCTACCGCACAACGAAAGTCGCATCAGGCAAAAAAAGAAGTCCCCATTACGGCCTTCTTGTTATTACATTACCGGTCGGTTTTTGTTTATTACGGGTAGAAAGTACATTGCGGGTCAATTGTTATTACATTACCGGTCGGCATTACATTTCGGGTCGATTATTACTTTACGGGTCGTAACATAAAAGACCAAAAAATAAAAGCTCAAGCCAAGCCTTAAAGACTTTCGCTCAGCCTTGTCCCAACTAAGGTAGTACTTAGAATTCTTCGCGCGATCAATAACCTCACAATTTTGGGAGATTTGAACATCGTCACATTAAACAGACCTCTATTTGAATAGACCTCTAATTTGTTTTTACACTATCGAGCGCCATTATACAATTTTGGGCGGCCAGCAATTTGCATTAACTTCAATGAAAAGGAAGGTGGCTATCAGTGTCCATGTCCAACAAGTGAGGACGCTAGCTAAGACTCGCTGCCTGTGCTAATTTCCTAGAGGTAAACATATAAAACAAGCTACGTCCTTGAAATGAATTGGCCTTTTTTAAATAAGGAACTTACAGCAATTCAGCCAGTTCTGGACCTCTTCGATGTCCCCACTATGAAGGAAGGTGTCACGGTATTCCACCTTGAATGGTCTGATTGGTGTATGACTTGACATCCCACCCAACCACACCTTGGTGCAGAGGCATGGGTCTCGTACAGGAATCACCCATCGGTACTTGAAATCTGAGTCTGCATCCGGCTCCTGCATGATTGTGCAATCCATCCCTGAAAAAGAAGGCAAACGGTTTAGCATGTTGAAGCATCTGTTCTCTTTTGCTCCTGCGATCTCTATTTCTTACGCGTAGAAGTGCGGAAGCTAGTAGGGCCACAAATATTTAAAACAATTCAAAATTGGTATGTTATACAGCGCGCGGTGAGTTAGCCTACTCCCGATGCCCCCGACACGATGAGAATTTCATCGCGGCGAGTTAGTATCTCTCGAGACAGTAACTCATCGCGGCGACATACCAATTTGGAAAAAAGAAACCATTGCTTGTGGCCTAGGCCCTCTACGTTTCTGTAAAATTCTTGCTCATTTGAGAAAGTTTTGGACGTCAAATATCGTCCGGTTTGAATAACGCCCATATATTAGTTGTATATGCCCGTCCCCCCCCCCCAATCAACATCAATTTTGCAGCAGCCGGGTGACCAAAACAGAAATCTTGCTACCTTCTAGCCCTAAGTGGTCCGTTAGTAAATTTGTTGTCACCCATCGCCCCGTCCCCCATCCACTGATCTCCGTGTAAAATACCTGCATAGCTCTTTGGCCATTCTGCGTAGCGACTATACAAATGAAGCTACGCACTGGTTCCCGTAGTCTGAGTATCACCCGTTATCCACGGAGCCAATTCCTGTATAACGTCTGATATGTCCAGAGACTCTAGACATGCAGATAAATGCAAGCCGCGCGCCAGCCAATCGGAGTCGACTTTATTAAACCGTGACGTCATTTCATTCCTAAATCACGACTAAATGGTTTGATTGGTAAATTCGAATGCAGTGTTTTGTAATACAACATGATAAACAGGACTCGTTTATACTACGCTGCATCGGAAGTCCTGTTTATTACGTCACGATTTAATATGTTTTGTTTGCTGCCCCCAACGACGACTTTTACACAAATTGCACGTTCGGGTCGAAACAGGACCTGAAAAACAGCTCTCAAAAAGTACCCTTTGTACTCATTTCATGACAGACACAATAGTCGTTTTTATTTCATCACACCTTAGGCTACATGTACCCCAAAAATGATGGAAATGTCTTCGAGCATTCCACAACCTCTTTAAACTCGGACTGTGCAATCGGACTGTGCAGTAGATCTATTGTGCAGTAGATGTTTTGTTCAAAATATTCATCTGTAATATTGACAGCGACAGAAACATTCATTGAAGCAGAGCTATTATCAGCCTGTTTTTTTTCTCGCCCACTCACCACTGCCTTCTATAAACAAGATGGTAATAATCGACAATTACTTTGACTGACGATGTCAAGGTATTAGATATATGCACTCTCCTCTGCAGCACATCCTCTAGATGTTCATCTAATTACTCTACACCGATAATTACTGCGGCATGCAGGTCATTATAATTTTCATGTCAAGACGGAATAAGTATGACTGTGGTACCTCCTTTAATTGGTGTTTAATGTGGTTGCTTTAAATCAAGTCAAAGGACAGGTACCAAGTTCCTGGGCATTTAATTTGATGAAAATCTATCTTGGAACAAACATATAGAAATCCTTTCAGGTTAGATTTCAAAGACCATTGGCGTGATAAATCGATTGAAGTTCATCTTACCAAGTACTATTCTTTTAACACCTGATAATTCATGTGTTCTTTCATATTTAAATTACGATATTCGTATATGGGGTGGCCCAACTTCAAATTGTAATCAAATGTTTTTATTACAGAAGAAAGCTGCCAGAATAATTACAAAATCCTCTTTCTTTAAACATAGAAATTCAATGACCTGTGTTACTTTGACTTCGTTAAATCTATGTTTAATTTAAACATGAATTACTTCCAGTCAATTTCAATAATATGTTTACTTTGTCTTCATCAGTACATTCACATGAAAATCGTAGGGCATCAAAGGGTAATTTCTGCATCAACTACAATCGTACCTCTGTATCAAAAGTAAACTGACATTAAATGGTATACTCAAGAGGCTTGCGTTTCTTTGTTAATCTGACTTTGGTTGGGGTATGGATGCTATTTTTGACAAGAAACTTTACAATTATTTTATTTCATTTGGAAACGGAAATCAGATATGAGGGTTTATAAGTTTCTTAAAAAAAGAAGTGCAAACAAAATGCTAAAGCAATTAATTTCGGTTGAATGGCGAGTTTATGGTGTTTTTTATAAAGTTTTGTCTATGTTCATTTTTAAATATTTGTTTCTTATTCTAACCTTAACCAAAATAAATTACTTTCATAAGAATGAAAATCGTTTATCTTTAATCCGCAAAATACAATAGAAGTAAATTACCATTGTTTTTTCCGTATGTTTTGCATGATTATTTAAGGATGGATTCTCTTCGTAGTAGGGGAGAGTGGGTAATTTTAGGCAAGCAGACTTGACATTAGCTTATTTACCCCTGACTTCACCTATCTATATTACAAAAAAAAACGTTGTGCCGGGCAAGGATGGCCAATGTTAAATAAATAACAACGTACACGCCAGGCTCCCATTAACGAAAGGACGATAAATTAGACATGATATTATATATATTATATAATGGCTATTAGTACAGACGAATGAGCCATTTGTGGATCTGCTATATTTTTTGACGACCTTGAACCAATCTTGCTTCATTGCAAAATTGTTGCCGAAATAATAATTACCGGCAATGGGGTAATAGGGAGAATTTCCCATAGACTTGTGCACAAAAAAATTCCGATTTAAATGTGCCCTAACCCAATAGTCACTTGTCCTTTTTCCACGAATTTCGGTATTTTTACTAATTAGACCACGAGCAACAAATATAACCTAATTTCAACAGCAAAATATTTTGCCTCTAAAGGGGGGCTGCGCCAATAGGGAGACACCTAGGTGTCTCCCTAATAGTACATTTGTAGGAATATATTTTATCATATGCACAAACAATTGTGAATACATAAAATGGGGATTTCTCTTTGGAAATACCCCACATTTTATTCCTCACTTCCAAAAATTATAATTTGGTTTCCCTTAAAAATTCACTTATAGAAATTTCTTGGCCTATAACGTTACTGATATAATTTCGCTTGACCAATTGTGGGCGTACAAGCCTTCTCTCACTTCATTCTGAAGATATTTTGGTGAAAATTAAGTAGTTGTGTTTGTTCGGGAAAATGGGGATGACTTCCTCCTTCCCAATTAGCTGAGTCTCCAGCTAATTGCGGAGACTCGGCCCCTTGTGTCCCCTGAGAAAGAGCTATCAAACGTGAGTGGCCACTTCGGGATGACGCCTCAGCAAATGCCACATTCGCACATGAACCTGCAGTTTTGGTACTCATGATATGTTTCAGGTTTCTCAGAGGGTGGTTTAGAGTTATTTTATTGTAGTACTTGAACAATGAATGCACATAACATTGACTCGTGTCTTTCCAAGCGATACAAAAGCAACGCCGTCTGTCTCCTCCCATTAACTCATGTCTGTTTACTGTTAAATTAAAAAGAAATTCCGTACATAATTTCTCTGGTTTAGAAGAATTTCATTAAACTACCAAAAGTCCTCTTTTTTGCCATCCAATTAGAAAAAAGTTTTGTAGATCTATAAGGTGACGACTTTACACATCAAGTGAAAATGTATCCGTCCACGCTCCCGTGAGTCAACATAGCAAACAACATTAAATTATGAAAAAAGAACATATACAAATCACTGATGACTCTACAAATTTGAATACATTTCAATGTTACCTTTAACTTCTTCAGCGAGGCAGGCAAGGCTTAAGAGTACGGCAGTAAACGCCAACGTCGCCATGTCAGAGGAGTCTCCTGTTATCTACACTGGCAGTACTCAGGATGTTAACCGCTATAGTCCAATCAATCTGATTGCTTCTGTCTGGAGGTAAAACACGCATCGACCAAAAGTCGCTGGGGTTTGTTTCCATGCCAACTGGTTGTCAATAAACCGACAATGCGGTGTCGTTTTGCTAATGCAATGAGGTTTTTTTGGCCCTGTGATGTCTAATGGACAATAACAAAAGGAACACATTTTCAAAACTAGTCTGGTTACCAGACCAAAAGATTCTGACTGTTTCTGACAAAATCTAGGTCAGGTAGCTGCCAAGGCCAAAATCGACTCTGTGTGTTTCCGAAAAATGTCTGAAGTTTACCGAACGCATTTTAATTACACTCTCGGATAGTTCGGGTTTTACTGAGAATAAGGCCAAAAAAAAAAATAAGTCGGTCTCTGGTCAGCGCGCGCGTCGATTTTAATCATGCGCGTCGATCTTTTTTTTCTCCAAAATGTTCCGCGGTAGCTCCAACAGCGCCCTCTATTTCCGCACCTCCTCAATTTTTTTTACCAAAGAGCACCAAGGAATGGGAAATTGCACCAAGGCAAATGATCGAAAGCACCAAGGCAAATTATGGAGGACACCAATGTACATGAGGACACCAAAAAAGCAAAATAGACCCACCTTGTCTGTTCAATCCAAGCTTGAAAAAAAAAAAAGCAAAAAAAAAAAAAAAAACCCGCGTGGCCGCGTCAATTCCGGAACTTTGGTCTGACCAGAGACCGAATATTTTTTTTTTTGGCCTAAAATAGGTTTTTTATTTACCAATACAAATACCAGCAATACGTGTAAAAAATGGGGGAAGAAGGCTTAGTTCATATGTTTATTAATCGCATTTAAAAAATTTCAAAGCCAGGTGTATTACCCAATATCCAAATAAACGTCTATTTAGAATTATGACTGATGCCTAGGGGTGTTCCAAAAATCAGCTCCGTCTCCATTTAAGCTTCGCCTGCTTTTTGGATCCCTTACTTTGAAGATTCCGGCTCATTATAAGTCAATGTTTTCCTACAGAAATATCAAACCGTATGATATGAAGCCAGTGACTTTTGTTCATTTCGTCGGAACATTAGAGGCCTAAATATTTCCGAGGTCAGGGATTAAGTCGAAACGGAACCGAAGTTTGAAAAGGGCCATCATGTTAATGTTTGGCCGTGGCGGCTACCTGACCTAACGTTTTGTCAACAAGGTCAGAATCTTTGGTCAAAACGACTTTAAAAGAATAAAGTAAATGGTAGTAGTCAAAATCTTTGCTTAGATTAATCCATTTATTACGACTCAGTGCAAATAGTACGCCAGTTATTGAGGCACTAAACCTTTTGACATTTTGCATTGCATCCTGGCTATGATGACAAACAATCAATGCAGTTTATGCACAGTAAGTGAATGTAAACTTTTTGTCAGAAGTCGTTGCTGTTGCTTCTTCTATTGGATCTCAATTTCTTTTTATGCCAACTTGGTTTATGCTTTTATTATTTAATTTCATGTCTTTACTATGCTTTCAGTTTTTCCTCCATTTTCCGATATTATGTGAAATATACAATAATACTGTTACCGCACTAATCGCTGATAGTGAATTTTTATAATTGGCTTTTCCGCACAGTTACAGTCGCTGGGGTTTGTTTCCATGCCAACTGGTTGTCAATAAACCGACAATGCGGTGTCGTTTTGCTAATGCAATGAGGGTTTTTTGGCCCCGTGATGTCTAATGGACAATAACAAAAGGAACACATTTTCAAAACTAGTCTGGTTACCAGACCAAAAGATTCTGACTGTTTCTGACAAAATCTAGGTCAGGTAGCTGCCAAGGCCCAAAATCGACTCTGTGCGTTTCCGAAAAATGTCTGAAGTTTACCGAACGCATTTTAATTACACTCTCGGATAGTTCGGGTATTACTGAGAATAAAATAGGTTTTTATTTACCAATACAATACCAGCAATACGTGTAAAAAATGGGGGAAGAAGGCTTAGTTCATATGTTTATTAATCGCATTTAAAAAATTTCAAAGCCAGATGTATTACCCAATATCCAAATAAAAGTCTATTTAGAATTATGACTGATGCCTAGGGGTGTTCCAAAAATCAGCTTCGTCTCCATTTAAGCTTCGCCTGATTTTTAGATCCCTTACATAAGTCAATGTTTTCCTACAGAAATATCAAACTATGAAGCCAGTGATTTTTGTTCATTTCGTCGAAACATAATAGAGGCCTTAATATTTCCGAGGTCAGGGATAAAGTCGAAACGGAACCGAAGTTTGAAAAGGGCCATCATGTTAATGTTTGGCCGTGGAGGCTACCTGACCTAACGTTTTGTCAACAAGGTCAGAATCTTTGGTCAAAACGACTTTAAAAGAATAAAGTAAATGGTAGTAGTCAAAATCTTTGCTTTTGCTTAAGCCAACTTGGTTTATGCTTTTATTATTTAATTTAATTTCTTTACTATGCTTTCAGTTTTTCCTCCTTTTCCCGATATTATGTGAAATATACAATAATACTGTTACCACACTAATCGCTGATAGTGAATATTTATAATTGGCTTTTCCGCACAGTTACAGAAAAAGCCTTTTTTTTGTAAAAGATTTTTTCTTCTTTAATTGGCTTTTCCGCATAGCTGAGGAAAAGCCTTTGTTTTGTCCTGATTTTGTTCTTTCTTGTTCCTCTCCTTTTTGTTCCATCCAAAATTCCAAAGATGTTTATATGATTCCGGGATGTGTTACAGACGAAAATTGAGGTGACGTCATCATATGATTTTATATTGATTTTTGACACTTTGAAGTTCATTGCCGTACCTCACTAACGCAACATAGTTAATTCAAAATTCTATCTGCAATAGATTTCGTTAGGTCATAGCTGTATATATATATTTAGACATATAAGGGTAGGTTTGGGGTGCAATTATGTTGTTACGCCAAATTAAAAAATGCTGTTCAATGAAGAAAGTCATTTCTTTTGAAGCAACAATTACTCAAAATCTAAGTAGGGTTCATAAAAACCTCATTCGTTGAAAATATAAAAAGCTAGCTCAGTGGCTACTATACATTTTGAGAAAACAGAAAAAATTTGCAATCTTTTTTTGGTCTCGTAAATGGAAAACATTGCTACCGCACGTAAAGGACACACTTTTTAAAACCACCTTCATACCATGGAAAGGGTTTGAAGACACAAGACTAAAACCAATAAAAAGGGTTTGCAAGGTCTGTAAAACAAATATAATCAATGCATCTACCACACATGTACTTGATTAAAGGCATATAGGATCTTGTGGATTATCAGAACATTTTGTTTGTTTCCGATAATCAGTGGATATTATGATTTCGAGATAACAGTGGGGAAAAATGCACAACCTTTTGATTACAAAACACGATTTCGGAAATAGCACTCTTTATTCCAAACTTTTATTCCTACATTTGTTGAGTTCTTCTAGCTCACAGAAAGCCAGACGGAATAATTTCACAGGGTGTTTGAGCACCGGTATGTTACTGTAAGGTCACTTTCGGGATAAATGCTAATAGGCCTATGCCTTTACTATTATAGTTGACCCCCCCCCCCCTTCTATCTCGTTTTCACTGTTTGCCTGTTTGTTCTTCAGCTTTCGGATAAACTCTAGTAACAATTGAGATTATGTAAGAGTAATGGGATCCCTTTGTCGTAATCAAAGTGCGGAGTCAGGCGATGAACGTTTGAGTTTTTGTGTTAGCAACTTGCTCTTTCACGGAGAATGCGTATACGGTAAGCCTCAGTGCCAAACTTATTTTTCAATTTCAATATTTCATTTGTAGTTTTCAACCTGCTTGAAGACTGACACTGCTGCATCCGTTTTTCCACTATGATCCGTCAAGGTATATCATCTATCGGTATCAGTGTTGCCACTGAACATTAAATCTATTTAGAATTTGTTTCGAACTTTAGTTACACAATTAGCAAGTACGATAAGTCAGGAGGATGGACACCAACTGAAGAAACTGACATTATTATGTACATAACCGTGTTTTTCGTCCATCTATTTCGTCTTCTTTCCAGTCTTGCGTGGATGCCCATTACCATCGACGCTGTTCAGATTCATGGTGAATGGGCAAATCTTCCTATTATTATTTCCTTTGGTAACTGAAATTCCTATATCTGCAGATCCCCTCAAATCGACCAAGTTGACGTTTGCATGCCGAGATCATTATGGATATGTACATCACCTTTGAAGAGTGTAGGTTGATTATTAATCTTCCCCGGCGAATCAAGGCCTTGTCGAAATTTAAGGCATATAGGATCATTGGTTTCCAACGTATTTTGTTCGTTTCCAATAATAACACCACTCAAAATCCAAAGACGACCCAACAATCTTGAACAATTTGTCAATTAATGATTTCAGATATTGAATTGCTAGCTGGACCTAAACCAGGTCTGGGCCCAATTTAAAAGATCCGATAAGTATAAAAGTATTCTAGGCATGGTAAACACTTACTCAGCACTGACATGTCAGTGAACCCTGCCAGGAACATGGTGTTTGTGCCCCGTTGGGCAAGACATACTTAACTGCCATTGCCTCTCTCCACCCAGGAGTATGAATGGGTACCTGTGAGGGCAGAGAACCGAATGTGGGCTGACGGATTTCGACTGCCGCGTGGTCTCGTGACCTGATGAACGTGATTATAAAGGTTGCGCAGGCCAGTAAATCGGTCCGAAATTGCCTACGCCGGCCAAATCACGATTTGCATGCCCACAAATTCTTCAAAATTTGAGCATATTGTGGGCCATGAGCTTGAGGGTTTATAAAAAAAAGATGGATGGAAGCTGTGCACAGGACTGTGAGCTTGTGTTTGTGTGAAATTTGGATGACATTGGGACCATAAAAACTCTCTATTTTGCAATTGGAATGTAGGCACTGTTTTTCAAAATGGCGATGGGCTTCTGGACAGTTTTAAGGGGTAATCATCTTTGGGTGGACATTTCTTCTTAAAGTTATCAGATTTCCCAAAAGAAAATCCAAAAAAGAAAGAACGATGATGTAATAAGCTTTAATTTGATGTGTGTCTCGAATACCTTAAAGAGTTGTGAGTGCTTTCCCGAATTTTTGAAGTGGGAGCATTTATCATTGGGGTCTATGGCAGTTTATTTACCTGTCTTTAACCATTTTGTAAAGCGCTTCCATTACAATAAATTATTTTATTAATTTTTAGTACCTGCACGCAAAGTGCATGGCTTGAGATAAATTCTTGGTTCTAAGCGGATTTCATTACATGATTTTGCTAAACACAATTTTCTGCCAAGCCGTTCAATGAAAATGCTGTTTCCTTCGACAGACCAGCAGATGTGGGCCAAGTCAGTGCCCCCACCAGACGCCCCGACGATGTACAGCGAGTATCTACCCCCAGGGATGGACCGAGTTGTAGCTGAGCTCAGGGACTTTGAGGTTAGAGAAGATGATGTGTGGGTGGTGACCTATCCAAAGGCAGGTAGGGGGCAAAATAGGATTAATATACAAATAGTGTGAGGTGTTGGGTGGATAGTTGATATAGTTCTGTGTGGTATTGGAAGTTGACGAACTAGTTTTCGAGGTGAGGAAAGTATTTTGCCAACTTCTAATTTCTCGCTTCTATCGATTATCTACTACCCTCAATTACCTTATTATTATATAAGTTTTAGTTTATCATTGTGTTTGCACGTTCAGAAGCCATGGGAAACGTAACGTAATATAAACCAGCCCGTAAAGTGAAATTCGTCCTATCGTGTGTGTATGCTACCTGTGCAATAGTTCCACGAATGTTGTTAAAACGCATGTGTAGACGTTGTTGGGGCATGCGTTTTATAGTTGGTACATATATTAAATATTGACTAGCATTTGATTGTGAAAGGACTTCTTTAACTGTCGTTTACAAATGTATGAGGCGTAGAAACATCCGATGCTTGATTGCGGCTGCATAAGACTTATATATTATTATTCGTTTCCATTTGACACTAAAGTTTTTAGAAAACTTGACTTATTACCTTCATATTAAGACCACTGAAATAGTTACACCGTGTCAGTCCTTTGTACTACGATGACCCCGTAATGAGCTAACTACGGCCAACTGTGTACACCAGATGTATGAAAAATAGGCCTAGTCATTCTGAAACAGTGGCAGACTTTTTAGACGTTGATGGTAGCAAATGGACCGGTCCCTTTCAATTGTTACTTCATGTTTAAGCTAAAGTGCGCATGCTCAATATGACGCAAACAATGGATAAGGACCGATGTGTTTACTGCTACCAACGTCTCAAAAGTCTCCCATTAAATAAAATTTTGTGGGATTTGAGACCAGCTTGCCAGGCTTGCCTTGTTTCCCCTTTCTTTGATATTGCTTATATATGTATATAGGTACAACCTGGGCACAGGAAATCATGTCTTGCGTGATGCATGATGGGGATTTGGAGGCCGTCAACAAGAGGCACACTTCTTTCCGTGTCTCCTTTCTTGAGCTGAGTTTGTCTGAGTTGGTACGTAAGGTCAAAAACGTAAGTAGTGGATGGGATCAAGTAAAAAGTAAAGTACAGTTTAGTAAAAAGTTTAAACAAAAATGTAGAGGTATATCTTCTGAACGACTCCCGCGTTTGACAGTAAAGGTCACATGAGACTTCTTAATCATTTTATTCTCTGCAGGTTCCTGAGACCCACCGACTTGCTGCAAAGATCCCATCAACTCGAGTTCTCAAGTCCCATCTCCCGGGCCCCTTACTGCCTCCTCAGATATGGCAGAAGAAACCTAAGATTGTCTACGTCCTGCGAAACCCCAAAGATGTGGTAGTGTCCTACTTCCACTTCCGGAAGTTGGTTGTGCCGACTAAGGCAATGCAGGCTGAAACGTTTGACGAGTTTCTTCAGAAAATGTTCACGGGCAAAGGTAAATTGGCTGTCTAGTTTTCAAATCCAATTAAGCATAAAACAGATAACCAACGGAGAGCAACAGACAGGAAAGCTTTCCTTTTAAAAATCTTTAGAAATATCCAAAGAAAGCACCCGGACAAAAGGAATTTCTGATACAAGAAAAGGTGGCAAAAGAAAGATCTCTACCTTTTCAGATAGTACTTATTGTTTTACCCCTCACAGGCGTGTCCTTTGGACTTTGGTGGAAACATTACCTGTACTTCTGGGAGAAGAGACACGAGGAGAACATTCTTATACTTCGATTCGAAGACATGAAACGGGTAAGTAAACAATCCGTGCCAGGTTGGGAAAAAGAGGATGAAAACAATTGAAGACTCGTGAAATGGCAAATCTGCTAACTCCAACAACGCAAGACTCTTGCAAGGGCGGATCCAGGGGGGGGGGGGGGCCAAAGGGGGCCATGCCCCCCCCCAAAAAAACGAAATCATTTTTTTTTTTTTTATGTGACATCGCAATAACGGCAGGCAATGAGTACACCACCATCTTTTCGTCAAAAAAAAACATTGGTTAAAGTGGTCAGAAATTGCCTCAGATCGCACCACAGAGCATCTAGAATCCAAAAAAATTTCGGGGCCCTTAAGCGGGCCCCGAACCCCACGCCGTAATTTTTTGGACCCACTTTTTGACATCGCAATAAAGGCAGGCAATGAGTACACCACCATCTTTTCCTCAAAAAAAAAACATTGGTTAAAGTGGTCAGAAATTGCCTCAGATCGCACCACAGAGCATCTAGAATCCAAAAAATTTTCGGGGCCCTTAAGCGGGCCCCGAACCCCACGCCGTAATTTTTTGGACCCACTTTTTGACATCGCAATAAAGGCAGGCAATGAGTACACCACCATCTTTTCCTCAAAAAAAAAACATTGGTTAAAGTGGTCAGAAATTGCCTCAGATCGCACCACAGAGCATCTAGAATCCAAAATTTTTTCGGGCCCTTAAGCGGGCCCCGAACCCCACGCCGTAATTTTTTTGACCCACTTTTGGGGGGGACCAAAATTTTTTTGGCCCCCCCCCCAAAATTGTGTTCTGGATCCGCCCTTGGACTCTTGTTGGAAGTTTCTAGTAGGAAGCGACAGAAATGACAAAAGGGTTACTTTGAAATTGATAACCGCAACAATCAATACACAAAGGATACTTTATGACGGTGACAAGAATACAATTACGACGATGAATCAACGACAATATTCAAACTTCCGGGGGCACAGGGGATGTAATTATATTTTTTAAGGGGCTAATAAAGGCAAATAAGGAAGTGCCTTTTTCATTTCAAGATTTCAAATGGAGAACCGGGGGTAGGGAGGACGAACATCGGGGGGGGGGGGGGGACACCAGATATACCGAGTAAACCGTTTCCCCTGGTATAAAAAAAATATTTTTATTCTCAATCAGGATCTCCGGGGTAACGTGGAGAAGATCAGCCGTTTTCTGGGCAAGGATTTTCCCGCAGAGACGCTGAATGCAATCACGGAACACTGCACCTTCGCTAACATGAAGACAAACCTCATGGCCAACAACAACGCCGTGTTTGAGAAGCGGGAAATACCAGAAGGAATGTCATTCATGAGAAAGGGTAAGTTCGGATCGTTTAACGTTGATTTTCCATTTTCGAAAAAACAAATGAGGAAAAAATTATCTGATGTAGACACAGCTGCTTTGAAACCGTTCTATAGCCTCAACCAAAATGTGGGAATATCTGCAGAATTTCAGCATTTCATTATTACATTCTCAATTCGTTTTTTTATTTTCCATCTTTTTTTTTTTAACTACAGACGATTTTTTTTTTAAACTTGTCTCATTATTTGCAGGTAAAGTGGGGGACTGGAAATCTCATTTCACCGTGGCCCAGAACGAGGCCATGGACGCCGAGATCAAAGAGAGGCTCAAAGGTTCAGGATTGACGTTTGAGTATGATTAGCCAATCAGGACATCAGTTATAATCGATTAGTTTGTATTCAGATTATCGGTTTCTGATTCTTGAGATCTTGGAATTACAGCATGCGTACTATATTTGGTAGTTTTTATTTTTTTTTAGCAGTGTGAAGTTTTGATTAAAGGAACGAGGCTCCACTTATTTACATAAGTTACAATACTTAAACAATTATTAGTTACAGTGTTCACAATAAGTGTTTAAAGGAAGAAAATATATGTTAATGATTGTTCTTTATGTAGCAGAACCCATGAAATTATTCGAGCTTCGGCCGAAATTGAAAATATGGTCGCCTTTCCTTTCGTTTTTGGCCTAAATGAAAAAAAGTCAAGAAAAACAGAGGGGATTCAAGTTAATGACATGTGATCGATGACATGTGATTAATGACATGTTAATGAGATGGGTTCTAAACATATTGGACCAGAGTGACGCTTGCTCCCTTCACTCTGATTCGATCCCGTAATGGGAAGTGACGGATTTACATCGTGTACTTGGTGATTTTATTTCCAACGTGTACTACGTGTTTTCATCGTGAAATAGTACCTCCATTCCTCCTCAACAAACCCCCTTTCCATTTTGCTTATTTTCATATTCAGTACTGCAATTAGGCATGATTTTTTTGATGGTCAAAATTATGACAAGACAACTCTGAGCAAATATTACGTGTTTGTCGATCTCTGAACACCTAAATCAAACTCTTATTTAAAGGCATGGCCAGGCACCTGTGTATTCCGAAATCCAACATGCAAATGGTCCAGTGCCAGGGTGAGAGAGCAGCTGGTGGACACGTACTGCTTAACCCATTTGGGAACGAGGAGGGCATTGCTAGCTGTTTGATAGACAAACCGGGAACCAGACTATCCATGTGCCAGTACGGGCCTATTGTCCTTTCCGTAATCTCCCCTGGACGTTGACCGGGAAGATAAAAGCAAATGAATGTATCTGCTGTGAACTTTAGGTCAGGTTCAAAGTTCCCGAACGAATGATGACAAGAATTTTCCAACGGGTTGTTTTTATTTGTAACAAAAACGACTGGTTCCATAGAATTCTGTCAGATTGGCTGAATCCACTATTACTTGCGGGAACTGCCAGGTTTAAGATTCAGCAGGTGAGTGTAATCGTCGCTTACATCTAATCATCTACAAGTCCTCGGTGACTTTTGCTTATTGACAGATTCAACATTCCTCCCTCTGATACGCACACTAATGCCACTGGTAGAATTTAAGAATCGTCTAAAAGTGCGCTCCTGTGAATGCCTCGTCTCGGAGGCACAATTGTTTACAAAATAACCGTTGCTTTGTCAAGTTGTCTCCGTAAACCGACTTCAATATTATATATTATCTGTGTATGCCATTCCAAACGTTTAGGGTACGAAGTGTGTATGTATTTGTTCCTGTTACCTTATTTTTTTTCATCTGTTGGGTAGGTAGTTTGCTCTTCATAATCAATCTTGGGGATTACTGCATTAAAATCTGCATTAGAATTTTAAGACCATTAATGTAAGAAAAAGTGTACCCCAATTTGATAAAAAAATGAACCATGTAGTGACATTGTTATACCTACCAGCCTTGCATTATATTGGCTTTTATCATCACTCCCTTTTTTCAGGTGTGCTCATTCGCCACCTGCATCTGTATCGTCCGAGCAACTGTGCGATATTAGACAGTGCAGGATGGTTCGCCATGGCCACGCCCACCACGCCCGGCATCATCACGGTGGTCACCACCACCACCATCCCCATCACGGTGGTATAACTCACCACCATGGCCCCGTCGCTCATCATCACCACCACGCAGCTCACCATCATCACCGAAATGTTCACCACCACCACCCTACAGTGGTGTCCACTGCCGTGCCTGTGGGGGCGGTCACCAGGGGTCCCAGTTCAGCGGCTGGAGGAGGCTACATCACGTTTGCTACTTTCTTGATTTGTTGTGGCACCGGATGTATAATGGCTGGAGTCGTTTTAGTTGTCTTGTTCGACTTCCCGTCTAATGAGTATGCTATTATCGGAATATGCCTCATCTCAGTGGGCGTAATAATGATATTTGCATTCGCAATAGTGTGCAAGAAGGGAAAATCAGCGCAACGAGAAGCTGGCATGGCGCTCCAGCAGAGTGGAGCAGTGAACACGATGATTTACGGTGTTCAGCCACAACATCCAGGAGCATTCGGTCAGCCTGGAGCGCCACCAATAGTGCAGCCGGCATCTGTGACACCGATAGTCTACGGACCACATGGAGAAGTCAGCTACTACCCTGCTACTAAAACGGGAATACCTTCTCAGCCGTACGGAAACACAGAGCCCAGGACTACACAGTAAGTAGTATTACTGATATGTTAAATTGACATCACTCCCTAGTTAAAGAAGTCCTCAGTAATCAAGTGTACATTATAACCTAAGGTAAAACTAGACGAATAATGAAGGCCAAATACTTTCAATTAGTCCTAACTTCTGTACTGGTCTGTCAGTCTGGTTTCTCTAGTTTTGCAAGGATGCATTAACATATATAATACATGTGATGCTTAGCGGCTAGTATGACCAATAGTTGTTAAAAGGGAATTTTTTGAAAAATTTCTACATTTGAGATTTCTGACAATGTATGGTCATCTTTCTTGTAGTGATTCCGAGGACTTTGTCGTGATGTCTGATGGCCATCAAGTAGAACCGACTGCACCTGTCGATTCCCCACCAAGTTATGATGACGTCATCAGCAAAGACACGCCCACCGAGGACTAGACACATGAACAATGGATACTGATCCTCATAGTACCCAAACCTGCAGCTAAGTTTAATTATGATATGTTGATTTTGACTTCAAAGTTCATGCACGCAGAGTTGAATTAGTTCAGGATAGCCAGGTAAGTTTGAACTATTAGACGAGTGATTACAGACGTCTCTTTACCAAGTTTTAGGGAAGAGGGTGAGGGGGGGGGGGAAATATTTCGGAAATACCACGAGGGGTAAAACTGTAACCTTATCCTTTTCTGGAGCCGCAGCTTTTAAACCTGGAGCGGGCTTGTCGTAAGGTGGCAGCATTCGCGGTGGCTTTGTTTGAGACTGCAACCCGCCTTTCTGACAAGATGAATCTACAACTTAGAATCATTCACCCGATTTTGTTTCTCGGCTAAAAATTGCCTATTTTAATATCCTCCAGCTCCTCTTGAGATCACCATACTAATCGTGAAAAAGTTTGAATAAAGAAAAAGAAGAGCACAAGTTGTCTTCTTAAACGTAAACAGCGCCACCTACTGTCAAATGGCCTGGTGTCTCCTGCTAGTTTTCATATTCCCAATGTCGGAAAAGTTGGAGGATTTGTTCTATTTCGTTCATTTGTCATCGACTCAAATGTACACTCTCATTGTCACACCACCATATTCCTCTATTCTGTTGTATCTGATGCTGACTACAGTTTGGTTCTAAATGCAATATATAATACAAGTCGAGCGGATTCAGTCCTCAGTCGGAAGTGGCAACTAGCGTACTAACAGAGTTTTGGTATTTTCATGGGAAGTGCTAAGCACAAATATTTGCTTAGCACCAAAAAAGTCTGGCTTATAAAAGCAGGTTACCAGCCAAAATGTGATTTTCATGCTAAGCAAACAACAGCTGAGTACTAATCACGAGCAATATACATTACGTGGAGTTTTGGCTGGTAACTTGCTTTTATTAGCCAGACGTTTTTGTGCTAAGCACATTTTTTTGCTGAGCAGCGCCTTGAAATTGGCCCCAAGTCACAGATCAAAATTACCAAAAATTCGTTTGAGGCAACATGTATAAATGACGACATTAAGATGGCCGCCCGTATGTCCCATTTGTGTATCCGTATTCCATGTTCATTTGTCATTGTGACGTATTTTCCCTTAATTAACAGTCTTACTAGCTGATGTGCATGCTTAGATTGGCCTCTAGAGAGTCGTCTGCTCTGAACAAGAAATATACAGGATCCCTTTGAGGATTTTTGGTCAGTGACGTCATCAAACTGGCGGCCACTTTGATGTATAGAGGCGTCGCATTCCGTTTCCCCCACTTTCTTATGCAGTCTTGTCAAACTTTAAACAATTAAAACTTCAAAATAATTATTAATTATATCCACGCTGATTGGGGGGGGGGGGGGGTCAATGGTATATGTACAAAATATTCAAATTCTAATACCCCATAATCATTCAATAAAGAGTGTGTACTTGTTAGGCAACGTTTTTGTGATAAGTCAAAGAAATACAATTATTACACCTTTGTATGATGTGCGTTTAGGTGGGATGTAAGAGGTCACATTTCAACTGAAACAAAAAAAGAAAAATAAACGCAATTTTAAATGTAATTTTCAATGAAAGTATTGTAAAAAAAGTTGTTTTGTTAATAACAAAATCCGAAAATGTAATTTGAGAGAAAGTATTACATAAATATATAATAATAAGAAATAATAATAATGATTTTAAAATACACGTAATACGATGAGCACATCCGGGCTTTACTTCGATAGACTAGAATGGTGTGATTATTGAGGGATAACTGCTTTAGCTTAAATTAAGCCAAAATATTGCCAATATAGATTGTATTATATGTAACTCGGAAAGACGGTTGATAAAGATTGTATTATATGTTATTGGGGAGAGTAGATATATATTATTTGGGGCAAAATAAGATTAATATACAAATATTGTATGGTGAGTTGGGTGGATAGTTGATATATAGTGGAGCTGCTAAGCGAATAATCGTGCACTTTGTGGTAAAAGCATGAAATTTGGCATGTGGGGTCAAAATGGGCTAAAAATCATTTTAAGATCGGGACCCATCCTGGATCTTGCCCATTTTGGGGGCGGAGCTTGATTTTTCAAAAAAGGGGGTGCAAACAATACAAACTCATGAAAACTGTATTTAACATCAAATTTCCTTGGTTTTTTACGCTTTGAAATAAACTTAAACATGAAATAAGACATTCTAGCATTCTAACACCTGTTAATTTTCCACCCATTTTGTGGGCGTGGTCTAATTGGTAAAAGAGGCGGTATATATTAGCAGTTTGGTTCTAATATGGAAAACATCATTCAGTTTGGTGGTAAAATTCTGAAAATTGGCATGTCCAATTGAAATGGGCGAACATAATGTTTAGAGGTGAACGCATCTTGGATCTTGCCCATTTGGGGGGGCGGAGCTTGATTTTTCAAAAAGGGGAGTGCAAAAAAAGAAAACTCAGAAAACTGTATTTTACATTCACTTTGTTTCTCATGCTTTGAAACAAAGTGGATGTAAATTCTAACATTCTAACGTGTTATTTTCACCCTTTTGCGGGCGTGGCCTAAATGTGTAAAGAGGCGGTACATTGGAGCAGCTTGATTCAAACGAGGGAAAATCATCATTTTTGCTGGTAAAAACACAACTTTTCCATCGGTTAACTATGTTTACCATACACTGTAAAGATAAGTTTAAACGGTTGCAAGACTAATTGTTGCCCTTTAGGGGTGGAGCTACATTTTAAAGTAGGCGGCTATAAAAAAAAATCATATCTAAATTGTTATGATTGTCTACAAGTAACTTACACAGGGTGAGTCAAAAAAAGGAAACCCAAATGGCAGGACAAATTTTTTTAATGAAGTTCTGCATGTAGCACTATCAAAATCATATGAACTTCAAATTTGGTTTGTGTATTTTTCTTGGTAAAATCCTAAGAAGCCTATTGCATTTGGGGCCGAAAGGTCAAGGGTCAAGGTCACAGTGGCTGAAACAATAGAAATTTTGTCAGCGCGATAACTTGAGAAATACTTTACATATGAACTTCAAATTTGGTTTGTGGATTGTCCTTGGCAATCCTAAGAAGCCTATTGCATTTTGGGCTAAAAGGTCAAGGGTCAAGGTCACAGTGGCTTAAACAACAGAAATGTTGTCATCGTGATAACTTGAGATATAATTTACATATGAACTTCAAATTTGGTTTGTAGATTGTCCTTGCAATCCAAAGAAGCCTATTGCATTTGAGGCCAAAAAGTCAAGGGTCAAGGTCACAGTGGCTAAAACAAAAGAAATTTTGTCAGCGCGATAACTTGAGAAATACTTTACATGTGAACTTCAAATTTGGTTTGTGGATCGTTCTTGGTCAAGGGTCAAGGTCACAGTGGCTAAAACAATAGAAATCTTGTATTTATTCTGAGATCATAGGGATTAGGAATTAATTCATATAAAACCTACACGAACGTGTTTGCTTAATTTTCATTCATACAGATGCTAGTAAATGCTTCAAAATTGGAAGTAAAAGCAAATGCCATGTTTTATTCATACGAACATGGTATCATTTGTACTTTATGAACTTTGTTAATATTAATTTTTCGCGATTAACATATAATAAATGCTGTAGCTTTTGCGCAGAATTATTTGCTTTATAATTTCAAGGTTGCCCCAACCCAGCCTTGTGAATGACAAGTGCATATTTGAAATCTGAAGCATTTACTCCTTTATATTCATACGAAACGTACAGATGGGAGTAATGCAAATGCCAGTTTGTATTCATACGAACTACCGTATGGTATAATTTTTACTTTTTCGCGATTAAAGGGAATATACAACATTTGCAAACATCGAAAAATAAAACTACCAAGTTTTTGCGAATTACCTTAATAGGATGTTGGTGAATGACAGTCTAAAGCATCCTGTAAAATTATGGCACCTGGTATACTGTCATTTTCAAGAAAAGTGGTATTTTTGTATCAATTTCCAACGCTGATCGGCCGATCAGCGTTGGAAACAACTGGCTTTTTTTTCAAATACTGGCCCCAATTGACCATTGCACTTGTTTGCAATCGATTACAAACCTATGAACGGGTACGAGCCAGCTAGACTGGTTCCCTGACCTTACAATTCCCCAATGTATGTAAACTGCTCTGTTTCTTCTTATATGGAGTCAGGGAACCAGACTACAGGAAAATGATCGTTTTTCTTGGTTTTTATAGCATTTTCGATCCCAAAACCTCCAAAAAGTCAGTGTAACTATATTTGCTTTATATTTCCAACCCCCTAATTCCATCCATTTCTGAAAATTACAGCAAAAGCAAATGATGTATATTCCCTTTAACATTAATAAATGCAGTAATTTTTGCGCAGAATTATGTGCTTTTATATTTTCAAGGTAGCCCCAACCCAACCTTGAAATATGACTAGTAAATATTTAAAATTTGTAGCATTTACTCCTTTTTATTCATAAGAAACGCAGTAAACGCTTATAGTGTAGCAAAAGCTTAAAGGTAAAAGTAATTATTTTCAGAATTTAGCAAACGGTTTTTAGTAAAAGTGTTTGCTTAATTTTCATTCATACAGATGCGAGTAAATGCTTCGAAAGTGGTAGAAAAAGCAAATGCCACGCTTTATTCATACAAACATATGGTATCATTTGTACTTTATGAACTTTAATAAATGCAGTAGTTTTTGCGCAGAAGTATTTTACTTTATAATTTCAAGGTTGCCCCAAACCAGCCTTGTAAATGACAAGTGCATATTTAAAATCTGAAGCATTTACTCCTTTATATTCATACGAAACGAAGTAAACGATAAATAAAAAATTTTCTGGTAATGAAACCAAGGATCCTCAAAAGTGCATGCCCCAGGCACTGTAGCTCGCAAACCCCGAAAAAAAAACGTAGAGAGAAGACAATGAGAAGAAATTACAGTTTTAGAGGTGGGAGGAAAACCCCAGAAGAATAGTCTGGGGAAAACCCACGGAATCAGGTAGGTACTGAAAACCCAATCCACATGTAGACCATGGGTGCCGATGCACAGCGCATTGTGCACGTAAACGGCATTGCGTTCGTCGCGTTTGATGCGCTTTTTTGTATCTGTCCTCCAGCACGTGACCCTCCCCGGTGCCGCTTTCCGTTTCGGTTACGATAGTTTTATTTTCTGCAAACTTATAAACATGTAAAGCTTTACATTTTGCAGGCCATTTACTCAAGAGCAAATGGTTTTTAGTAAAAGTGTTTGCTTAATTTTCATTCATACAGATGCGAGTAAATGCTTCGAAAGTGGTAGAAAAAGCAAATGCCATGCTTTATTCATACAAACATATGGTATCATTTGTACTTTATGAACTTTAATAAATGCAGTAGTTTTTGCGCAGAATTATTTTGCTTTATAATTTCAAGGTTGCCCCAACCCAGCCTTGTAAATGGCAAGTGCATATTTAAAATCTGAAGCATTTACTCCTTTTTATTCATACGAAACGAAGAAAACGATTATTAGGCCAAAAAAGGCTCTGGTTTCTGGTATGCGCGCGCGTCGCCATAGCCATGCGCGTCGGCAATGTAAGATGATGTCTTTCAATGTAAGATAATGTCTCAAACCACCAAACTCACTGGTTTGACTGGAATCCTGCTGCTGCACAATTTTAACGTGTTATTTCTCATAAAGTTATTTCTCATGTCTAAGTTTATTTCAAGCATGAAGAACAAAGGAAAATGGATGCTAAATACAGTTTTTCTGAGTTTTTTTATTTTTTGCACTCCCCTTTTTGAAAAATCAAGCTCCGCCCCCAAAATTGTGCAAGATCCAAGATGTGTTCACCTCTTAAAATTATTTTCAGCCCATTTTAACTGGCCAATTTTCAGGATTTTACTACCAAACCAAATAATGTTTTCAATATTAGAACCAAACTGCTAATATATACCGCCTCTTTTGTACATTTAGGCCACGCCCACAAAATGGGTGGAAATTAACTGGTGTTCGAATGCTAGAATGTTGTATTTTATGTTTAAGTTTATTTCAAATCATAGAAAAACAAGGAAAATGGATGTTAAATACGATTTTTATGAGTTTGTATTGTTTGCACCCCCTTTAAAAAAAAAAATCAAGCTCCGCCCCCAAAATGGGCAAGATCCAGGATGGGTCCCGATCTCAAAATGAATTCTAGCCCATTTGGACCCAACCTGCCAAATTTCATGCTTTTACCACAAAGTGCACGATTTGGGCCAAAAATGGACCTAAGCAGCTCCACTAATAGTCTAGTTCCGTGTGGTATTGGAAGTTGGCAAACTAGTTTTTGAGGCGAGGAAAGTATTCTGCCAAATTCCAATTACTCGCTTCGATCGATTATCTACAACCCTCAATTACCTTATTATTATTATATGAGTTTTAGTTTATCATTGTATTCTTCAGTTGCCAATTTTTGTTTGCTCTTTCAGAAGCCATGGGAAACGTAATGCAATATAAACCAGCCTGTAAAGTGAAATTCGTCCTATCGTGTGTGTATGCTACCTGTGCAATAGTTCCACGAATGTTGCTTAAAACGCATGCGCAGACGTTAAATATATTAAATATCGACTAGCATTTGATTGTGAAAGGACTTCTTTAACCGTCGTTTACAAATGTATGAGGCATAGAAACATCCGATGCTTGATTGCGGCTGCATAAGACCTATACATTATAATTCGTTTCCATTTGACACTAAAGTTTTCAGAAAACTTGACTTATTACCTTCATGTTAAGACCGCTGATGTACAATAGTTACATCGTGTCAGTCCTTTGTACTAGGATGACCCCGTAATGAGCTACAATCCCGGCCAAAATGGTTGGGACACTTGGAAATAACCGGTCAATGTTGTTCTCTCCAGCTAATATGGAGCACACACCGCGCAATGAGAGACAACATTGACAGGGGGCCGGGGGGGGGGGGGGGTTGGAGGCCCAGCGACATTTAGCCAGGATTGTAGCTACGGCCAACTGTGTACACCAGATGTATGAAAAATCTCCAGTGAATAGGCCTTGTTATTCTGAAACAATGGCAGACTTTTTAGACGATTGTTCTTTATGTAGCAGAAACCATGAAATTATCCGAGCTTCGGCCGAAATTGAAAATATGGTCGCCTTTCCTTTCGTTTTTGGCCTAAATGAAAAAAAAAACAGTCAAGAAAAACATAGGGGATTCAAGTTAATGACATGTGATCGATGACATGTGATTAATGACATGTTAATGAGATGGGTTCTAAACATATTGGACCAGAGTGACGCTTGCTCCCTTCATTCTGATTCGACCCCGTAATGGGAAGTGACGGATTTACATCTTGTACTTGGTGATTGTATTTCCAACGTGTACTACGTGTTTTCATCGTGAATAACTACCTCTATTCCTACTCAAGAAAGCCCCTTTCCATTTTGCTTATTTTCATATTTACTGCAATTAGGCATGATTTTTTTGATGGTCAAAATTATGACAAGACAACTCTAAACAAAAACTGTTTGTAGATCTCTGGAGACCTAAAACAAACTCTTATTTAAAGGCATGGCCAGGCACCAGTGTATTCAGTGCCAGGGTGAGAGAGCAGCTGGTGGACGCGTACTCCTTAACCCATTTGGGAACGAGGAGGGCATTGCTAGCTGTTTGATAAACAACGATGAGCCAACGTCACATGCATTGATATGTTGGACTTTGACCTGGGCGATTATCTGCTAATGAGACAAACCGGGAACCAGACTATCTATGTGCCAGTATGGGCCTATTGCCTTTTCCATAATCTCCCCTGGACGTTGACCGGGCAGATATTAAAAGCAAATGAAGTTATCTGCTGTGAACTTTAGGTCAAGTTCAAAGTTCCCGAACGAATGATGACAAGAATTTTCCAACGGGTTGTTTTTATTTGTAACAAAAAAACGACTGGTTCCATACAATTCTGTCTGATTGGCTGAATCCACTATTGCTTGCGGGAACTGCCAGGTTTAAGATTTAGCAGGTGAGTGTAATCGTCACTTACATCTAATCATCTACAAGTCCTCGGTGACTATTGCTTATTGACAGATTCAACATTCCCCCCTCTGATACGCACACTGATGCCACTGGTAGAATTTAAGAATCGTCTAAAAGTGCGCTCCTGTGAATGCCTCGTCTCGGAGGCACAATTGTTTACAAAATAACCGTTGCTTTGTCAAGTTGTCTCCGTAAACCGACTTCAATAATATATATTATCTGTGTACGAAGGTACGAAGTGTGTATGTACTTGTTCCTGTTACCTAATTTTTTGTTCATCCGTTGGGTAGGTAGTTTGCTCTTCATAATCAATCTTGGGGATTACTGCATTAAAATCTGCATTAGAATTTTAAGACCATTATTAAATGTCAGAAAAAGTGGACCCCAATTTTAAAAAAAATGAACCATGTAGTGACATTGTTACCTACCAGCCTTGCATTATATTGGCTTTAATCATCACTCCCTTTTGTACAGGTGTGTTCATTCGCCACCTGCGTCTGTATCGTCCGAGCCACTGTGCGATATTAGACAGTGCCCATTACGATCCGATCTGAGTCGTCGAGGACATAAAGGATGGTTCGCCATGGCCACGCCCACCACGCCCGGCATCATCACGGTGGTCATCATCATCACCATCACGGTGGTATAACTCACCACCATGGCCTCGCCGCTCATCATCACCACCACGCAGCTCACCATCATCACCGAAATGTTCACCACCACCACCCTACAGTGGTGTCCACTGCCGTGCCTGTGGGGGCGGTCGCCGGGGGTCCCAGTTCAGCGGCTGGAGGAGGCTACATCATGTGTGCTATCTTCTTGGTGTGTTTTGGCTTTATATTTATAATGGTAGGAGCCATGTTTGTTGCCATTTTCGATTTCTCGTCTGTCTTTGCTATTTCGGGAATATGCCTCATCCCAGTGGGCGTAATAATGATAATTGCATTCGCAATACTGTGCAAGAAGGGAAAATCAGCGCAACGAGAAGCTGCCATGGCGCTCCAGCAAACTGGAGCAGTGACCACGATGATTTACGGTGTTCAGCCACAACATCCAGTAGCATTCGGTCAGCCAGGAGCGCCACCAATAGTGCAGCCGGCACCTGTGACACCGATAGTCTACGGACCACATGGAGAAGTCAGCTACTACCCTGCTACTCAAACAGGAATACCTACTCAGCCGTACGGAAACACAGAGCCCAGGACTACACAGTAAGTAGTATTACTGATATGTTTAAATTGACATCATTCCCTAGTTAAAGAAGTCCTCAGTAATCAAGTGTACATTATAACCTAATGTAAAACTAGACGACTAATGAAGGCCAAATACTTTCCATTAGTCCTAACTTCTGTACTGGTTTGTCAGTCTGGTTTCTCTAGTTTTGCAAGGATGCATTAACATATATAATACATGTGATGCTTAGCGGCTAGTATTAGCTAATAGTTGTTAAAAGGCAATTTTTTGAAAAGTATCCACATTTGAGATTTCTGACAATGTATGGTCTTCTTTCTTGTAGTGATTCCGAGGACTTTGTCGTGATGTCTGATGGCCATCAAGTAGAACCGACTGCACCTGTCGATTCCCCACCAAGTTATGATGACGTCATCAGCAAAGACACGCCCACCGATGACTAGACACATGAACAATGGACACTGATCCTCGTAGTACCCAAACCTGCAGCTAAGTTAAATTATGATATGTTGACTTTGACTTCAAAGTTCATGCACACAGAGTTGAATTAGTCCAGGATAGCCAGGTAATTTTGGACTATCAGACGAGTGATTACAGACGTCTCTTTACCAAGTTTTAGGGAAGAGGGGTGAGAGGGGGGCAATATTTCGGAAATACCATGAGGGGTAATACTGTAACCTTATCCTTTTCTAGAACCGCAGCTTTTAAACCTGGAGCGGGCTTGTCATAAGGTGGCAGTATTCGCGGTGGCTTTGTTTGAGACTGCAACCCGCCTTTCTGACAAGAGGAATGTACAACGTAGGATCATTCACCCGATTTTGTTTCTCGGCTAAAAATTGCCTATTGTAATATCCTGGGGCTCCTCTCGGGATCACCATACTAATCGTGAAAAAGTTTGAATAAAGAAAAAGAAGAGCACAAGTTGTCCTCTTAAACGTAAACAGCGCCACCTATTGTCAAATGGCCTGCTGTCTCCTGCTAGTTTTCAAATGCCCAAATGTCGGAAAAGTTGGAGGATTTTGTTCTATTTCGTCCATTTGTCATCGACTCAAATGTACACTCTCATTATCACACCCCCATATTCCTCTATTCTGTTGTATCTGATGCCGACTACAGTTTGGTTCTAAATGCAATGTATAATACAAGGTGAGCGGATTCAGTCCTCAGTCGGAAGTGGCAACTCGCGTTCTAACAACGTTTTGGTATTTTCATGGGAAGTGCTAAGCACAAAATTTACTATGCACCAAAAAAGTCTGGCTTATAAAAGCAGGTTACCAGCCAAAATGTGATTTTCATGCTAAGCAAACAACAGCTGAGTACTAATCACGAGCAATATACATTACGTGGAGTTTTGGCTGGTAACTTGCTTTTATTAGCCAGACGTTTTTGTGCTAAGCACATTTTTTTGCTGAGCAGCGTCTTGAAATTGGCCCCAAGTCACAGATCAAAATTACCAAAAATTCGTTTGAGGCAACATGTATAAATGACGACATTAAGATGGCCGCCCGTATGTCCCATTTGTGTATTTGTATTCAACGTTCACTTGTCACTGTGACGTATTTTCCCCCAATAAACAGTCTTACTAGCTGATGTGCATACTTAGATTGGCCTCTAGAGAGTCGTCTGCTTTGAACAAGAAATGTACAGGATCCCATTGAGGAATTTTGGTCAGTGACGTCATCAAACTGGCGGCCACTTTGATGTATAGAGGCATCGCATTCCGTTCCCCCCATTTTCGTTATGCAGTCTTGTCAAATTTTAAACAAACTTCAAATTCATTATTAATTATATCCACGCTGATGGGGGGGGGGGGGGGGTTCAATGGTATATGTACAAAATATTCACATTCTAATTAATACCCCATAATCATTCAATAAAGAGTGTGCACTTGTTAGGCAACGTTTTTGTGATAAGTCAAAGAAATACAATTATTACACCTTATTATTACACCTTGGTGGGATGTAAGAGGTCACATTTCAATTGAAACAAAGAAAGAAAAATAAACACAAATTTAAATTTAATTTTAAATGAAATTATTGTAAAAAAATTGTCTTGTTTATAAAAAAATCCGAAAATGTAATTTGAGAGAAAGTTTTACATAAATATATAATAATAATAAATAATGATAATGATTCTCAAATACACGTAATACGGTGAGCACATCCGGGCTTTACTTCGATAGACTAGAATGGCGTGATTATTGAGGGATAACTGCTTTAGCTTAAATTAAGCCAAAATATTGCCAGTATAGATTGTATTATATGTAATTCGGAAAGATATTGTTAATAAAGATTGTATTATATGTTATTGGGGAGAGTAGATATATATTATTTGGAATCCTGTAGGATTATTTCTTCTCAAACTCAATTATTTGGTCGTCCTTTTAAAATAAAATAAATTAACGGAAGTTGAGATTATCGAATATCACTGACGATGTTAACAACGCTTTTAGACAATAATGCAGAATAAAATAAAGAAATCTTTACAACCATCAGTAAAATAGAACTCTAAACATATTTTGATATTTTTCAAACTGTACAGAATGATATCAGGTACAATAAATAAGACTTAATATGTAAATATTTCACAGCTATCTGTGCTGACTTTTCCCTCTTAAAATGTGGCGTTTTGATATCAGATGTCTCACCGGGTACTGACTGATCTGACACTTTGTTGATCTTGTATTTTGACTTTTCAAATTGTTTAGATCTCTTGGGGACAAGGAAATCTACAAATTACGTTTCATGAAAAGTACGTCGTCGAACATATTTCTCAAATTATCAGCGTCTCACTGACCTGACTGATTCGCGTGCGGTGTTTGTCTGAGTTAATTACATGCAATACATGTGCACCAGTGGGGCGAGTAGCACAAGAACAGCAACGCGATCGAATTATTTTCTAAGAGTAGTGTGAAGGTTTCATCAAAGTAACGTGGTTTATCTAAGCTCCACTCATTAATGTTAAAATTTACAAAATAAGTTACAATGTTCACATTAAGTGTTTAAAGGAAGACGAATTATCGGAAATAGTACAAATATTTTTTTATTTCCAGAAAACCACGAAAAATATGGCCGCCTTTCCTTTCGTTTTGGCCGAATTAAATGAAAAGAAAAGTCAAGAAAAACAGATTAATGGCATGAGATTGTCTCAACCTGAACTCACAGAGATGACGCTTGCTCCCTTCATTCTGATTCGAGGTAAGGATTTATATCATGTACTTGGTGATTTTATTTCCAGCGTGTACTACGTGTTTTAACGTTCATCGTGAATTACTACCTCCATTCCTCGATCCTCAAGAACAACACCCTATCCTTTTCCGTTTTCTTATTTTAATAAAGCCTTTTGGATGGTCAACACGATAACACGACAACTCTGAATATACAAATCACGCGTTTATCGATCTGTGGACAGCTAACATTTTTTTTTAAAGAGAAGGCCAGGCACAAGGGTATTCCGTACCCAATTCTAATGTGCATCATTTTTGAACATGCAAATGAAGCAGTGCCATGGTGAGAAAGCAGCTGGCGGACGCGTACTGCTTAACCCATTTGGGAACGAGGAGGGCATTTCTTTCTGGTTGATAAATATCGATGAGTTAACGTCACATTTGCATGCGGTGGACCTTTATATGGATAACTCTTTGCTAATACGGTACGATCCGGGAACTAGACTGACTATATACCAGTACGGGCCTGTTGCATTTTCCATAATCTCTCTCGGACGTTGACCGGGCAGAAAAAAAAACAAATGAAGGCGGTTGCTGCGAACTTCAGATCAAGTTCAAAGTTCCCGTACGAATGATGACAACAATTTTCCAACGGGTTGCTTTTGTACGAACGACTGGCCCAATATTTGTAAAAATTATTCGCCTAAATACTGTCTGATTGGCAGAGTCCACTTCGGGAACTGCTAGGATTCAGCAGGTGAGTACAATCATCGCTTATATTTAATAATCTACAAGGACTTGGTGACTTTTGATTATTGAATTGATTCAACATTCGGCCATCTACAATATTCCAACACTATTAAATTCAACTGGTAGAATTAAGCATCGTCTAAAAGTGCACTCCTGTACTTTCATCGTCTCGGAGGCACATCGTGTACAAAATAATCGTTGCTTTGTCAAGTTGTCTCCGTAAACCGACTTCAATAATTTATATTATCTGTGTATGTCATTACAAACGCTTAGGGTACTAAAGTGTGAATGTATTTGTCCCTGTTAACTTGGCACCTTGTAATTTGCATTCAAATATATTTTTCATCCGTTTGGTAGGCTCGGTATTTTGCTATTCATTATCACTCTTGAGGATGACTGTATTAAAATCTGCATAGAATTGATAGACTATTAATGTCAGATGTAGCAGGGAGGGGAAAAAAAGTGGACCCCGATTTTATAAAATGATAGTGACATTGTTATTTACCAGCCTTGCATTACAGTGGCTGTAATTATCACTCCATTTATGTGCAGGTGTTTTCATTCGCCACCTGCATCTAAATCTATACAGCGCACATAACGATCAGGTCTGAGTCGACGATAGCATAGAGGATGGTTCGCCATGACCACGCCCACCACGCCCGGCATCATCATGGTGGTCACCACCACCACCATCACCCTCACGGTGGTATAACTCACCACCATGGCCCCGCTGCTCACCATTGCAACCACGCAGCTCACCATCATCACCGAAATATTCACCACCACCAACCTACAGTGGTGTCCACTGCCGTGCCTGTGGGGGCTGTCGCCAGGGATCCCAGTCCAGAAGCAGCGACTGGATCCGGACGAGGTTACATTGTGTGTGCTGTCATCTTGATTTGCTTTGGCATCGCATTTATATTTGTAGGAGCCTCTTTGGTTTCATTTTTACACGTATCTTCTACTTTTCTTATCTTGGGAATAAGCTTCATCCCAGTGGGCGTAAAAATGATCATTGTCTTCGCAATATTATGCAAGAAGGGACGATCTGCCCAACGACGAGCGTTCCAGCAGACTGGAGGAGTTACCACAACGATGTACGGTGCTCAGCCGCAACATCCAGGAGCACTTAGTCAGCCTGGGGCGCCACCAATAGTGCAGCCGGCACCTGTGACACCGATAGTCTACGGACCATCGGGAGAAGTCAGCTACTACCCTGGTACTCAAAGGTATTACTGTTATGTTTACTTTACATCATTTCCTAGTTAAAGAACTCCTCTGCGATCAACTGTACATTAGACCTATTCCTATAAATGTAAAACCAGACGACTACTTTCCATTAGTCCTAACTGCTGTACTGGTCTGACAATCTGTCTTCTCTATGTTTTGCAAAGGTTGGATGTACATACATAATACATGTATACCTTATGCGTAGCAGCCATCTTAAAGGGAATTTTGTGGTTATTTTAATTCAGCAACAATGAATTTAAAAAAGGTTCGTAAATGCAGATCCCAACAAAGCCATTGTCCTTTAAGATGGCTGCTACTCTAAGGTGTTTTTAGTAGGAGACGAAAAGACACGATGTGACTTTATTGTAACGCCGAATTCAAAACAATGGCATTCTTTAAATTTTAAAGTGTACCTACAACCGTCATGGTGAAAAAAGTTACAAGATCATGCGATAAAGAATAACCTCTGTTAACGAAAAGCCGTGATTTACTAGCCATAACTGTTCAAACTAAAGTACCTTGGCAACACTAATTCCCCGTCTCTGATTGTCTATAACATTGCCAAAGTAGACTTGAGCCAAAACAATTGGCGCAGCACATTTGAGATTTCTGACAATGTGTGGTTATCTTACTTATAGTGACTCCGAGGACGTTGTCGTGATGTCTGATAACCATCGAGTACAATCGACTGCATCTGTCGATTCCCCACCAAAATATGATGACGTCATCGGCAAAAACACGCCCACCGATGACTAGACAGGTGAACAATGGTCACTGATCCTCGTACCCAAACGTGCAGCTAAATGCAGACACAGAGTTGAGGGTCCAATTTAGTCCAGGATAGCCAAGTGATTTTGAATAAGGCGAATAATCACAGGCCATTTACCAAGTTTTATGGGGGTATCAACAACATTTCGGAAATACTTCGAGAGGTACTAGTGTACTGTAACTCAATCCTTTTCTGGGGCGGCAGCTTTTAAACCTGGAGCAGGCTTGACGTTGGGTGGCAGTATTCCCGGTGGCTTTGCTTGAGACTACAACACGCTTTTCTGACAAGAGGAAAGTGAAACGTA